AGCATGTCTGGGGAACAAGGGAACAAGGCGAAACCAAATGCAGATGTCAGTCTAAATCCTTTGGTTGTGAGGGATTCAGGGATTCACCGTCACCAAGGTAAGTGCACCTTCTTCAATTCACGTCCCTTTTGGTCTGTATCATCATCAATTGCACTTCAATCAGTCAGACTTCCTTCTACGCATGTATAACTCATGAGTGCCGGTGCGCAACGCCAATATGTGCTTATTAATATTTGGTTTCTCCACCACAAAGTAGAATTCCTTTGCAGTCTTGTCTGCTGGGTGGATCAAAACATTTTGTCGTGAAAATAGAGGTTTCGAGTTTCCGGCCGAGGGAACCCGATTTTGGGGTATTTGCATGTATTAAACCATTGCATAATGCGATCGAACCCTTGCTCGACGGCCTATTCGTACTGTTATTTTCCTGAAATCAGTCGAATGATTGGCAAAGCTTAGCAACGCAACCGTAACATGTCAGTAAGACAGCGGCGTCTGTTGGGCAATAGATTTCCCCGCACACTATGTCGTATTCAAAAGTACATTACACCCAAAAGTCGTTAAAAAATGTCGGGTTCGCGTTCCGCTGCCATTAGTGTAGCGTCCCAAGGCTTCCAATAGGGTAGTAGAAGGCATAAGTGAGGGTGAATACATGTATTCTGATGAAGACAGGATAAATTGGGCCTAAGTGTGGCAGGAAGGCCAGAGCACGTCTACAGAGGCCAGACAAATTCTAAGGTGACCGCCAAACATCAGGTAGTCACATAAACAAAGCATTACAGTCTAGCCCTTGTACTGGTGAGCTGGCCTTTGGGCCATGCCTAGACCCATTTGTCCTGTTGTCTTCGGAATACATGTATCTCGCTGCATTTACTGACTTTTATACCGGCTAGGGGTTCTCGGGTCGCTACACAGTATATCTATTGACAATCCATAGAATAGATCAGTGCCGTTAAGACAGTTTAAAAGGCAGTTTATATAGTAAAGATTAGAGTTTTAAGCCTGTTGCATCGTACTTTACCTTGATTTAACCGTGTGGTCCAAAACAATTGGCGAAATTTTTGCTATATTTTTGAAGCGTAAAATTCCACACATAATACTTAAATATTAGACAATTTTACAACTCGTCTTTAGTTTTGAGACGCAAAGGTTCCTTGCATTATTTCTGATGGACTGTGCAATGCTTAAAGTGAGCGACCGTGTAATGCGCGAACTGCGTAGTTGTTCTGATTGCTAATGGATGAAAGAACCTCGCTGTTGCAGGAACCTGGTAGTATTTATAGCTTTCATTGCCATAAATTTGCTAGCAGCTCATGGCAGGCCCCCAAATGAAAACACAGAAAATCGAAGTTCGGATTCTGAGCCGACGACAATGTGCCAAGTCTGCAAAGCCATCATTCCTATCGCTAATAAGGAAAAACAACTGGTTGTCAAGTGCCCATCTTGTGGTGAGGCTACGGTAGGGATTCAACGAAACTTTTTGCAACATCATTACAGCCTATTAAAGGTCCACCAATGGGCAAACAATACGTTCGTTGTCAGTGCAATTGTCTACTAATATGCAAATCAACTGCTACTCGAGTTGGCTGTCCAAGGGACGACTGTCAACGTGTTATCAACCTTAACGGCGTAAGCTGTGGTCAAAATACTTCTGTGAACTTTGTTTAGTTACTTTTCTGCCAGAAAATCACTCTCCTCTATTCCAGCCGAATGCATCTGGTTACCAGGCCGGGGACTCAAATACGGAAGGAATTGGCGGGGCTGGAGGTAGTGGAGGCATCGGAGCAAGCACGTTTCCTAATCGCGGTGGGTTTCGCGTTACTTGTGGTAACTGTCATCGTCCCTTTTCCATCCCCACACCCCAGTCCTATCGACCTAATACCTTCGGAGCCGACTTCGTCAATCGGTTGGTCAGCTGCCTCTCCGGTGGCGCGGCATCCAATGTTAGCGGCCTAATCGCTGCTCGGTGTCCACAGTGTCGCAAAGTCACCTCTATTGGACAGGCCTACGCCCGTACTCGATGGGTTGGCTACTTAATTCTCACTCTTATCTTCCTCGTCATTGCTCTTGGTGTAACCTTTGGTACTGCAAATACTGCAAAATCGCAACATGGACTATACTTTCTTTGGTCAGGTTAGTTGATACCTTGACGACTGTTTACCTAACTAGTAGTTGATTTTGTTATTGGTTTTTGCCTGCAGACTCTTCCGCAAATATTTTCCTTTTAGCTATGACACTCAGAGTTGGGCACCACCAATATAATCTTAGCTTAATTCCAATGTGCTGAACTCCGTCTTTGTTGATCGACTGCAGAATTTCTATTCTACAAATTTTCCGTTAGATGCCTAAAAAATGAATGACTTAGTTGGATTGCAACTCAATACTTTAGTTAACTCGCTTGTCTGATTTTGAGCTGTCAAAGTTGCCGTCTCCTTGATCGCGGATAACTTAATTCGTCGACTATGTAGACCTAGTCTTTAGCCCGTTGATACACCAATTTGTCTATTGGTGTTGTGTCGAATAAACCTTGAAGCGTACGAAGAAAGTCTGCTGTTTTTTACTCACGCAGCGTAGGTTCGAAACACAACTGCTATGGTTCTGACTAGTTGCGTAGCAAGTCCCTGCCTAAGAATATCATCAAAGGCTCCTTCAAGTGTATCTTTTTTTCTCCCCCGCAGCTTCATTTTCTGTACCTGAAACTTTGAGGAACGCATTCTAACATAGTTGCCAGCTCCGGCAACCTCCTCTTTGTGTGCTTGTATAAACACGAGTTGGGTTACAGCACATGCAATTGTGTTTATGCGGCATCTGGTGAACATCCAAAAGCCTTTTCAGAATGTCCAGCTCATTCGGCGTAAATCAAATTCTTGTAGCTGACTAGAACACTGAAATACATTTAGTGCATTAACATCAGTTGTGACATATCAAGTGAGGATTTTTTATTCCCTACTCAAAACCGCTTCATTGGAGACTTCCATCGGTTAATGAGTACTTGAGCACTTGTGTTGTTTTTCGGGTTTATGGTCTTATTTTCACCCAAATTAATCCCGAAATCTTTCAAATCCATTACAAAATTCTCATGTGTCAGTATGATGGAAGATCTTGAGTAGAAATTTCCTCTTTGCATTGATAGCTGTGAGTTCAGCTTCCCTGAGCTGATTTCTGGTAGAACCAAAACCTCGGGGAAAATCTTAGTTACACTAATTGCGGAGGATCTTATCAGCTGTCAAGTCCGATCTGCTCACTAACAAAAATTTCATGACTTGTGCCTTTTTATTCGATACTTCCTTTTTCAACAGTTCTCTACCTTCTTGTGCTGGTATTCGCCATTCGCAGCTTCATGTTCTTCAGAATGCCCATAAGCGCACTGGAGCTTCCTGTGATGCACGCCTAGGTGCTAGTACTTCGCCTTTCCCTCATATTTACCCACCTATCCATCCATCTTTGTGTATTATTAATGTCTTTAATAATGAAGCCATAACTCCTTTTGTTCCCGTCTTCTGTGTGAACCCGACTGTTTTGCCATCTGTGAAAACGACCAAATCTGGCGTTGCGGTTTCGCCTTTTCTGCCTCCCCTTCTTTTTTCGTTTTGTCTTTCCTAAAATTGAACGGATTCAACATTCAGGACCCGTTTTTGCTTTAATTCGTTCTCCCAAAAGCTGCTGTCTTCCTGATTGCCTTGCAATCCCAGTTCTTAAATCACCTAATGAAACAAGCCATTGAATCGTATCAGCAAACGACTATTTATCAGCTACATAGGGGTGTGTTAGTATGGCTGGGTATGGTTACTGCTCTCAATTGTTTCGCTTTAGTTTCAGTATGCAAACTGGAAGCTAGCATGCTATAGTAAACCAATATGATGTTTATAAGACCAACGCTAAAGTTGCGTAGGCTTTATTTGGTCTACTATTCAGGGGGTCAATTTTTGACGCACGCAGTTGCGCATACCGTGAGGCCTCAGATTTCCTTCTTGTCGAGCAACTGAACTATACTTATCACCTTGATGATCTTCTAACAAGCCGTCTCCAGCATTTTCTCAGCATTCGAGTTGATTTAAGTCTTTCAGTTGGTGTTCCCGAAAATGGCCTCGCTCGTTAGATGCTTCCGGTGCGATTCTGCGTCAGTGTGGTCAGCTCTTTTGAGGTACTTTGAGATGTTGGTCGATCTATTGTACATTTAGTTCGTTTTGCACGCTTTCATTTCTGATTGTCGCAATGAGAGCTAGGGGCCAAAAAGAACAAAATTCGTGCGAAGGTCATCAACTCGATTCTGCTAGATCAATTATCTGCTGTACAGAAATTTCGAAGGCTAGTAGTGGATCTAATGGGGACTAGCCTTCCCTTAAAACTTGTATGGTGGTTGACTAGATTCTTGTTCACAAAGGCACTTGGGCGACGCACCTTCTGTTTACCCGTGAACAGAACTCAATCTTTGCAGTCACTTGCCAACGCACAGTAGGACCGACGGCCATTTAGAATAAGCGACCTTCAATTTTGTGATGTCATTGGCTGCAACTCGGGCCTTGCGTCGACTGCATGTGGCGCTATGCTGCCGCTGATGTAGAAAGGCGGTGCGCCAATAATAAATTTTAAGCGACAACATCGGATGATTCGCCTTCAGGCATTAACTCGGGTTGGCATTAGCTTGGCATTAGCTTGCCCTAGACAATACTATTCCAAACCTCAATAACTCTAGTAACACTAGAAATGAACACTCCAAGGACACATTTTTAACAAGTTGAGAAATAGCATCACCCGAAAACTTATTTAATTCGGGAATTGATCATGGCTAGAGTTTCGGTTCATACTGAAACTAAGGAGTTAATTTTTTTAACGAAGGGGATTCGTACGTGGTAGCTCAAATTCTGGGCATCGGTGTTGTGACTCCTCACGCTCACTACTCTGCACGGACCATGATAACTTCCTGCATAAACTGTAATCAATTCCGAACATCAAAAAGGGCGCCACGATCGCGTGTGACCCACTCATCAAAACTCGGGCACAGACAGCCAGGATTAGCCCTGCCTAGACGGATATTGGTTTATTCCTGTGGTGAGTTTCGTCTGGCTCAACCTTTCACGGTGCATAACTCTCTTCTCTGATCATAGGTGGGGTGGGCGGTCGCAAGAAGAGAGCGTGCTCAACTTGCCGCCGCTAATGTAACTTCGTGGGCTCTACTTTAGGTTTAAACCATAGGCCTCCAAAACAGATGTGTTAATAAAACAATGGAACTTAAAAGTCGTTAACTGCAGGAGCTTTAGTGCCGACATTGTCCGTCTTCAATCAATTAGACGTTTGCTGAGATTAGATGGGCAGACGTTGGATCCGCTCATTTCAAATGTTCCGCAATGTTTTTTAGTAGAAGCAGTGCTGTAGCACTTCACGGCTCTTGCAAGACCGTAAAAGTAACCTGCTTTTTTATTAGGACTTCACTTATAAATTAACAACATAAAGAAAGCACTGCCAGGATCGAAAGTTGAATTCTCGCGAATGTGAGTGCTTCTCACGAGAAGCATACATAGTAAAACATTGGTTTCTAAGATAGGGCTCAAGAATAGGTTTGAAACGGACGTTTATACCAGTACTGACGTTAATAATCTGCTGTTAGAAGTATTGAGCTGATGGACCATTACCATTCAGTTAACCAAAAACTGGGCATGCATCCCGACTTCCGAAGTTGTCCGCCCGTTAACTTCACACCAGTTTATTTGTTTAAAGGACAATAAACCAGAGAGAACTCCACAAAACACATCAGTGATGCAACCGGAAATGACATTTGTCAAGTTTTATTAAGAAATCATCGAGAGACGAAGGAGAGAAGAACAACTATGTCCATCACAAGTCAAATAAGCCTTCCATTGACTGCATTCCTGTTAACCCCAGCTCCACACCTGAATTAATCAAGTTAGGTGCCTATTGCATGTGTCAGAGAGTTGACGACTTCGTCTCCAGCCGAACTACTCCAAGTATCTTATAGAACCATGAAGGTCACATTTCGTTTGTTATTGATCAGATGATGTTAATATAGGTAATAAACTACCAGCGTAGTCAATTAACAAAAGTTGGTTATATAAAAAATTTACAGATGAAAGCAAATGCATGAAACGATAAATAGCTCCGCCCGTGTGGTGATCTACTCAGTCTCCGAGTTGATCGCCTCATTTGAAGAACCTAAGAGAATCAGTCGCTCAGCGACAACCGCGCCGATTTTCCTCACCTTGGCAACCTCGATTGGACTAGAAGTAAAACTGGGTTTATAGTAAGAGAGAAATCCGGTCACAAAGACGCGATCCCCAAGTCGCAGACGCTTCACTAGCGGCAAAAGCCGGAGGTGGAAGACGTGCACTCGATTGTGATAGGTGCGCAGAAGGTAAGTCACTCTACTGGCATCCCTTTCGTTTTCATCTACTTCGGAGTCAAAGCATTCTTCATCATCCAGAGGAGTCGAGAGCACCGGAATACGTGTGCGAACGAACAGGGTGGCCCATTGCCTCCCCGGCTGCGAAAGTCGGTCCAACATCTGTGAGGGTTAGATGAAAAACATCGGCGAAGCAGATGAGCTAAGTAAAAAGGGTTCTCTGAGGTTTCAGCAGGCATAAAATAAACTACAAGTGACCAGTTTAAACCTACCCAAGATTATAGGCCACCACGATAACAGTAAATGTAACGAAATGATTACATAACCGAATGTAGTTTAGTTGGTACTCATACTCTAAAAAGATGTAACATTCTGAGCACCCATTTTGATCCATAACTACCATTAAAAGTGAACATCCTAAGGTGATTCATACAAAATCATGCAAGTCTCAAAATATGGAAACATAATGCCTCAGTGGGAATAAATGGGCGAAAACCATTAAACAAAAGCTAGAGCAAAACACGAAGGTCAGAAATCACAGAGAAGTACTGGCACGTACAGCAATGACAGGGTTTGTGATTTGTATTACTCAACAGAGTTTAAAAAATTCAGAAACGGCATACACTAGAAAGGAGAACATTAAAAGTGGGAAAAAACGCCCGCAAACCACCATTATTGTCCCGAAATAGTAAGAAATCGACGAATACTTATCAGCGAGACTGAAGGCAACACTTAGAAATAAAGAATAAAGAATTTCCAACCACAAGTATTAACGTAGACCATCTAGCAACTCACCAAAGTGAGCATTTCATTGAGAAAGCTGGAGTAAGTACCTACCTCAACACTGACTACGCTTTTGTTTAATTATCGCAAAACTGCGCCACCGAGACCTCGAACTCCTGACCCGATTTAACACCATTGCTTCAAAGGACTAGCATAAAACATATTCTTATTTGAGTTTGTTCGTATTTTTGTCTATTCCGGAGAGATCGAAGGCTGCAGCATTAACCAAAACTGGTAATAAGAACAAATCCATTTCAAGTATGATGAACGACATCACCTTAATGCTATTCATACCTGAAGTAGCACTAAGTATTGCCATGGTTACTATTTGGCAAGTAAGTAACCGGATAAGGTAGGCCGGTGGGCTAAAGAGACCAGATAAATCGTTAATTAAGTAGATAAAGAGATCTAAACATAGATATTGAATTTTGAGTAAGGCAACGCTAGAACTCAAACTACATTCAAAAGTTGAAGAAACACACAAGGATAAATAAACCCAAATAAGCTATCAAAAAGTCCCTTGAATTTTCACATTGAAACTTCTGATTTCACACCCACTCAAATGTTGCAGTTCCGGGCAGGGTGAATTTAGATGTACATCACGATATTCGAAAAGACCAAGCGATAAACACAGTTGATAAGACTTAGGAGAACCGATCACTTCAGAACGCCTGAGAAAAAGTGAGTCGATAGAGTTTAAAAATAACACCACAATGTTCGAATATCTAAAGAGTCTCTTCGACAAATCCAGAAATCATTGGGGCAGGCGGCGGTAGAATAAAGTGGAAGAATAAAGTTGGACATTCCTAATATACCGAAATAGGTAGAAACGATATTTCGACTGTTGAATAATACAAAAAAGCTCCGTTCATAAAAGGGGTCTGCGTTTATTATCACCCTATACTGTGGTCAACTAATCGAGTTGCGTGAACTTACGCCGATCATTCATAAATAAACGAATATGAAATCCAAAAAAAGAGCAAAAAATAAAAATTACTGCCAGGACCTTCCCAATACACGAATGACAAGTTCTACTTACAATGCTGTAGATTCGAAACTATGGAACAAAAACATACCAGAACTAATAGAGTTGCACTTGCAATAGAATTTTCTTCAATTACTGGCCACTAGTGCATTAAAAAACTGCTATAACATCAAAACATACAGCGAAATGCAATCCTTTGAATATAGTTGTTTAGGAAGATCGTAGACTGAGATGTGCCAACTGCAACCGGTTAAAACGGGAAACAAAGAAAAACATTTGCTCAACAGATGTGCCAAGCTAAAGCAATCGCTACCACATAAGGTGCCTAAGACACCAACCATGTAATGCACATGAATCTGGAGACGCACCTTCACATCTGTAACAGTCCCTAAAATATCAGCACGATTGATATTGCCACCCTCGTTGATTTTCAAGTAGGAAAGGGTCTTGGGAACCGGTGGAGAGCGCATTTCAGTGATCTCAGTGACGTGTGAGAAGTCATCAGAAGAGGAGGATGTACCACGTTGAGGAATGGCCGACAGGAGGGACGGTTTCGTTGCAGAAATTAAACGGAGAAGGGATAGACCGGGTAGCGTCATTACCAGAACTCACAGGCCCGTAAGAAAACACCGATACTGAACGGAATTGATGATAGAAAATGATATCGTGCACACAGAGGAAAGTCAGCTTAAACGCAGTATAAATGAGCTCAATGTACCAAGGTACCGATGCTTTCCATCAAAATCAGACTAGTCAATCGCTGAGTGAGGGAGACTAAAGCCCAAGTAAAGAAGAAATCGACCACGAAACTGATTATGACATTCCCAATCACCAAAAAAAAGCTTAATAAGATTTTCACACCAGAGAAGTAGTTTGATGGGTGTAGAACTCTGTGATTACACTCTGGAAGACAGCACAAGTTTCACTAGTTGCAATGTCATTCAACGACAGAAGTCCATCCACTGCTAGACATCCACTGATAAGACAAACAGAGCAGCCACTTGCAATTGGAATAAAACTGGTTTTTAAACCTAGCGACTGGGTCCCATCGCGCAAGCGCAAATTGATAACACTAACAAAACTAAGGTAACAAATGCAACTGAACGACCAGAACGTTAGATCGTCCTAGATTTGAATGAAAACTCAGTTATTAATAGTGGCTGAACTACCCGTTTGTGGTCCTAGAGATGAATAACACAAAACAAAACAGAAACCAACCAAATCGTAGAAAGTAAGCAAACGATGTATGTTTTTTAAACCCCTACCATCCGTTTTGTTTTTATTTCTTATTTAATCCAACTGTATTATTGGGGACTTCAGCCCTGGTTTAATTGTCATTCGGAAATTAACGATTGATTTAACTATTTCCTTTACATAAAGTCAACCAATCACTAGCCCACTTACTTACGCACTAGCGCAGGAGTCCGTTGTGGGGATGTTTGGTGTTCTCCTGGCTGTTGTTTTACTTCCCCTTGCCATATTCTTACTATGGCCTGTCCTAGTTTATTTCGTGTTTCGCATGTTTTTATGTAAACGTGGTGATTTAAAGAAAGCGGGGGAGTGGGCCATCATCACTGGAGCAACTGATGGCATTGGGAGGGCTTTTGCTGAATTTTTGGCTAAAGAAGGCTTGAACATCTTCCTCATCAGCCGTACAGAAGCAAAACTGGTAGCGGCCGCGGGAGAGTTGGAAAAGGACTACAATGTGAAGACGAAAATTTTTGTTGCTGACTTCGCCAAGGTGAATGCTTTCAATAGATTTAATGTTATATAAAACTGTTGTTCTATCTCCTTCAATAGAATTGTCGTTACTTTGCAGGAGGATTTTTCATATGATCAGTTTCACTCTGAAATCGAAGAACTCTCATCAATCTCCTGCTTTATCAATAATGCTGGTTTATCTTACCCTTACCCAGACGCATTACACTCAAGTCCATTCCTGACTCCCTCTTTCTGTCACGAAATTATAACAGTTAACATCACTGTTCTAACGAAACTGACGCGCATAGTCCTTCCCAAAATGGTCAACGATCCTATGCCGCCACCTGGTGTTCATCGCTATTTGATCAATGTGGGATCTTTATCTGGTTTATTAACGATCCCCTACCTTACTGTCTACGGTGCTACCAAGGCCTATGTTCACTCATTCACCGAAGCCTTGGCGGTTGAACTGGAGGGCACTTGTGTTCGTGTGCAGATGTTCGCTCCATCCTTTGTCTCCACCAAGATGTCGGGGATAAAACGCGCTTCAATTACAGTTCCCTCAGCAAAAACTTACGCCAACTCAGCGCTGTCAATGATCGGCGTTGAGACTGTTAGTACTGGATACTTTGTTCATGCTCTCATCTGGCAGTTTTCGCGCCTGATTCCCTCCCGTATCTTCTCCTCTTATATGGCCAAGCGAACACTTTGCGCACGCGAGAGACACCTTCGTAAACAGAAGACCAATTAAGGTGAAGGTTGGGATGCTTTATTCATAACACTTTAGTGCAACGCTTCAGTTTAGTAAATATGTATTGCTAAAAGTGTTTGGTCTTTTGGCTGGTGAACGCTCCCCTATTCAAGATTGACTTTTGATATGTGCCTTCTCTGTGTACTAGCGCATGGGTGCATATATATTAGTGATTTTTGAGTTGAGTCAAGCTTCTAGTAAAAGAGGTGAGGATTTTGACGTGTGCAGTGGTCTGTAAGGTATTCTACCACTTAAGAATCAGTTCGAATCGCGTTTGGCCATCGTACTGCGTTGAGACATACGGCGATTTGACAGTTGCTGCTGCATTTTCGTTTTGGGTTCTGATGTCTCTCCCCTCTTCGGGCTAAGTTTAACTAGAGTAAATCATTGGCTTGTTATGTTTTTTAGCGCCAATACTGTGGAGTTTCGTGTTACATTAGTAGGCGCTTCAACCGTTCAGTCACCATGCCAACTACCAAATTTGCCCCCATCACGAGTGTGGTAAACAAAGCACGGCGGCTTTCCGGGTTTAGTCGCTCGCATTGTGTGGCGCTATAGTTTGCACGACATGCTGCTAACCCTCATGTCATCCTTTGAATTGGTATGCGCTCAGATTAACTTTCTCGTTTGTGATGCTTGCTACCCTTAGGGGTCTCGACTTCATCGGTCTTGAGATTCCCCATAGCGAGTGCCTTCGTCTTTTGTAAGCCAATCCTTGCTCATGGTGGCAATTTTGTTTATTCATTGTTAAGTGCAAAAGAAGAGCACGATTCTATTTCAATGGGTGGTGCCATTGAAGGTCAAGCAACGCTGTGCCAGTTGAGTTGACCACATAACGACAGTGGTTGTTAAGGGAAAAAGAAACTTGAGGGCACCAATTAAGTCGGTTCGCTTATTTGCGATAAGACGGGAATGTCGCATTGGTTGAAGCAACCAAAATGAGGTCATTTGTTCTTTCTTAAATACGGGTTTAAGCTTACTTCAAGTGTAATACCTTAGGACTCACCTTTTCTGATAGCCATGGGATAACCAAGCCCTCTCTTATTTCCAAACTAGTTCACCTAAGGAAACACGATTAAAGGGAATGCTATGGCTGGAAACAGTTTACTGCTCTTTGTTTTTATGTGTTAGTCTTCCCCCGAGGATTTTGTGAGTTAATGTCAACTTGCTGACCTTTGTCTGCATATTTGAGCCGATTTCCATCTACCAAAAGAATTTTACCTATTGATCTTCCCCTTTCAGTTGTAAATGTGTAGTGGGAAACAATATTCATGAATGTATATATGCATGCATGTGCCTTCGAGCCGTAGATGTGATTATCAAATCGTTTGTAAAAGGATTATCGACGTTTTCACACATCAACCGAACCGACCAATTAAGGTGGAAGTTGATGTAGGTACGGACTCACCTACATCGGTTATTATTTGACCCGTAGTCTCCCATTATAAATAGCACAAGGCTTTTCCATAGTCAGAAATCTATCCATTCGTCTTTTCCTTATAATACTTGTTCTTGAACGGTTGTTCGTGGATTCGTTTTCCTTATTTCTTCTCAGGTCAATATTGTCGGAGTAAAATTACTTGTCATGTTTGATACCAAGCATGATGAATACTTGATGAGAAGAATAACGCAGCAAAACAAACCTTTTAGCATGGAATTAATCAAGGTGTGTAACCTCCCAGGCAGCTTAATCTCAAGTTTCAGATACGCATTTACATAATGCGGATATATCACGTATGTGTGGAATATTTCTGCTTCCAAAGCCACTTAATGTGCGTTTAACATAATTTAGGATACAGTGTCATATTTCGTAACTACTGCATGGCTGAATTTGGAGTTGCATTACTATCATCAAGGCGGAGGTCATGATCTGCCTACTACAAATATCAAGTAGCATCTGGTTCCTTAGCTCCATTTATTTGAAGGGGAATAAACCCCATCTGCTAAGTTCATCTTCGAGTTATTAGAAGCGTAAAGGCTTTGACGAGTCATTTAATCGTGGCTTGCCACCACTCTAATAAGACTGCAGTTAAAAGCCAAGAGCCGTGTAATGGTTTGGGCAGAATCAGAATCAAACTTCGACATTCGTTTCAAGTAAATTATGAGCTACAGTTTTATTTGCCTTTCAAGCACACCCAAAAGGCGTGCACTTTTAACCCATACTTGAGATTCATGGGATTAGTTGTCATAGTAAGCAATGGTTGCCCAATTTGCTATTCGAATGTCGATAAAGTCGTGCGAATTTTGTTCGAAAAACTAAGGAGATTATGTTTATCTTCCTTATCGTTATGCTTATGGATACCTCGAGTCGAGCCATACCTCATTTCACCATCATTAGCTTCTCCAGCAGGGACAATTCGCACCGACTTCCGGAGCAGAGCAACATGACGGATAGTGCAGCATCGAGTGGGAGAGTTAGGCATGGGAGAACGGAAGTAATTTCAACTGGCAACAGATGCACCGCACCGGCTGCATTCGCATACCTGGTGATAATTACCATCGGGCGTAATTATCTTGCTCTGTCTCCCTCTGTCCCTTCCATGCTTTGGATTATCAACGAGCAGGCGAAGAGAGGACTGCGCAGTTGATTTTCCTGATTATTATGAGAGTAGAATCAGCAACTGTGGTGGTAGTAGGACCCGTCTGAAAATTAGCCACTTCAAACTGTCAAAGCCAGTGCCGCTTCAGATCATCCATCTTACATCCTTTCAGTAGCCTTTGAAAGGAATTTAAAGTAAATGGGTCCCAGAGCAGACTTTGTACGCATCATTTAAAGAAGTACATTTTTCAAATTAAATTAATGGTCCTGGGACCCAGCAGTCCCCTCGGTCAGTTCTCGCATCAGCCATCACAAATAAGTTGGTGCTATACAAGAACACACTTAAGCCAGCCTCACTGATCGCTAACTTTTCATGTAATTGGCAATTTTACACTGAATTTTAGAGTATCAGGCTGTTTGCAGATTGCATTGAAATGTGCTAGCCATTGCAGATGTCCCTTGCAAGTGGTAAAATCATTGCCCAAGTGGAGAGTCATAATGGAGGACGCGGTTTGACACCGCTTTCAAAGAAAGAAACTTTGTGTCTAGGCGCCTTTACTACTCGGTTCCCACTTCGATGCTGTTCACTCGTATTTGCTCACAAACTGTTCACTCAGTAGAAAGGTGAAAGTGATTCGTTAGCTGAAACAATTAACGGATGTTAATAGAAACGCACTAGAAAGATTATTAAAACGTTCAGTTTTTTACGAGTAACGTTTGTTTAGTTAGCGATAGCTTTCTTGTAAGGCAAAGGAACAGGGTTTTTACCGGGTGCAGATGTCGACCCTTATTTCAATTCGCAGCATACGGTCTTTTCCGTCAAGTCGAGGTCTGTCACTCAAGTGTGGACGTCAGAACAGTTGCCATTAGAGATAAAGTATGCTTAGCCACTTCAGAGAAGCGCCGACCCGTTAATCCTGTGGAGACGAAAAGGGACAATACTAGAGTAACCTGCATGTAGCCGACCAACGAATGCAGTTGAGGCCACCAGAACGGCTCGAAGATTAAACCGCCTTGTATGGGCAGCATTGCAGAGGCCTTCATTAGCAAGTTACCTAACCTGAGATTAAGCCAGCAATCAAAGTGATGCGTTGTGGACACCATTGTTTTATGCTAGTGTTCCGACCACAAATTAAGACTATCAATTGACAAATGGGTATGAAGGGTAAAAACTCGTTGTTTGGGTGTTATCTTTTATGTTGTAACAAAATCCAGGTAGGTGCATGCATTTCGCAAAGGCTAAATTATTCGTCTGACCATGGGTTACAAAACTTGCCTTTGCTTAGCTCATAAAACAATGTGCGATTTGCCCGTTGCGGGAGCAGTTTCAGCAGTCGGTACGGGATTATCTGCATGCATGTACACACGCGGTTTTAACGTTCGCAAAGGTAGCATCAATCCGCTATCCCACGTCCCTACCCTATCACTGCAGGGCCAAAGTAAATCCATGGATTTAGGCCGGCTTAATTGGCAATTACTCAAATCTCCCCTGAGCCACGCAAAGGGGGAAATGACGGTGGTGGTGGTGGTGACCAAAGCAAAGTGGAGCAGACCAAACACCTTTTGATGGGCTTTCGCCCGGTGAGAGTGCTGGCGGAAGACAGAAGGGGTGGAGAGGATGGGGAAGAGGAAGAGCCAGGGATTAGCCAAGCGACAAGCAATTATGAGATGGAGCACGCGTGTGCTCAGTCGCGCTTGTTGTCGTTTTCAGCAGTTGGGTTTGCGTGACTCTCCAATTTTTCTTTCTCTCTTACAGAAATACACACCTGATGTCAACTAGCAGCAGGTGGAACACTTGTAAGGGGTTTTCGTGACCCTTCTCTATCGATTAATCATTTGTTCTCTTCCTCCCCCCCCCC